GTATCTCGTCGCAGAGAGCCTTTTGTGCAAAAATAGTAGCTGAAAGGGTAATTTTATAGGGCTTAGCACTCACTTAACACTTTAGGAGCCAAAATGGGGCCTCAGCAGAAAGCCAGGAAGCTGCACCTGTTTCCATCCCGCTGCAGAGCCACAAAGAGAAATGTGGGAAATGGTGTGCGAGGCACGAACCGGGGCCGAGCATCCTGCTCCGCCGGCTGCGGAGCGCATGGCGAGCGGGATCTGCGCTCGGGGAGGCTCCTTCTGCTTCCCCAGCCCGCGAACCCCCATCCCGCCCCGCTGGAGGCACGGAGGGAGCGGGGCAGGGGAGAGGCTCCGTCCCTTTGAACAGCGCGGGGGTTCCCGGTCCCGGTGTCCGGACGGGAAGCGCCGCTCCCGGTCCTGCCGGGCCACAGAGGCCGCGTGTGGGGCGGGCTCGGGGTGTCCCGAGGGGTCCCCGCAGCCTTCCCGGGGCCGGGATGTGCCCCACAGATCCGCCAGCACATCCCTGGAAAAGGGACGGCACAGCCGCGTCCGTCCCCTGCGAGCCGCTCTCATTAACGCCCGGCGCTAATTACCTCAGCCCAGGCGGGCGGCGGGGCTCGTTCATCCCGATCCACCTTCCCTCGGCTGCTGGAAGTGTTCCCGGCAGAGGGAACGGGGAACCTGCCCCACATCGCCTTGCTCGGGGTTGTTTGGTCGGGGTTTGTTTTGTCGGGGTTTGTTTGGTCGGGGTTTGTTTGGTCGGGGTTTGTTTTGTCGGGGTTATTTTTGTCGGGGTTTGTTTTGTTGGGGTTTATTTGGTCGGGCTTGTTGTGTCGGGGTTATTTTTCCCTTGGAGAGCTCGGCTCTGGTGGGTTTCCAGGGGGAGCCCGCTGGGATGGGGGCAAACCACGCAGAGACGAGGCAGGCTGGAAATAACGAGGGAGGGAAAACACAGCGGCCACGGCCCGGAGACAAAACCACCGGGAAATGGCACCAGAAAGAGCTTTAAAAACAAACCTGTGGCTGGCTGGGGCCGGGGGACACCCCGACACCTCCGGGGACAGCCCCGCTGCTGGCACCGACACCCCACGGGCACCCCGGGGAGGGGCACTGGGAGCACTGGGAGCACTGGGAGGAGCTGTCCCCTGCCCCCCCCCAGCTGCTGAACCCCAGTTTGGGGGTGCGGCCCTGCTGCTTTACCAGCACCAGTTTGGTTTTAATCATTTAATGGTGCCTGAAGTGCGTTTCCCGTGGCAGGAACATCCCAAAGTGCCACGCTGTGGGACAGGGACACATCCCCCAAGGAGCCCGGGGGAGCTTCCCTGCCCAGGGCCGAGTGCTGGAAAACAGCAAAGCCTGACCGATATTCCCCAAAATCCGGCTCTGTCTCGGTGATTTGTGTCCGCTGCGATATCGAACCGCTGCCTGGAGGGACTCGGGTACTTAAAAACCCCGCGCAGGAGGCGAACAGGGAGATTTATTATTTTACTTTTGTGGTTTTCAGATAGTTTATGATACCGGGCTAATAACTCCCGAACCAAAATCTTCATTGATCCGGGGGAAACGTGACGTTATCCTCCCTCCCTGAGCCCCCGGAGGGGCTGCTGCCCTCCAGGGATGGCTCCATCCCGGGGATGCTCCCGCCGGCTGTCCCGCAGCAGGGACAGGAGCACATCCTGAGCACCCAGGGCACCCTCCCGGCCCCGGGTTCATGCGATAAAACACAAAATCGGCTTCATTTCCCATGCACGGTAACGAGCGAGCTGCTCTCGGCCAGGAAACCCCGCCGGGTTCCGGCTTTTAGGGGAAAAGATGAGCCCGGGGCGGGAGCTGCCGGGAGCTGCTCCCCGCTCAGGCTCCGAGGGGCTCCGAAAGGAGCAGCCCGGCCTGGGGAGCCCGGGATTTATCTGTCCGTGGGGCTGAGGATCCCACAGTGTCCCATCCTGCTCCCCCAGCCCACTGTGGATCCCAAAGACCCCATTCCCACAGCCCACTGTGGATCCCAAACCGTCCCACCCCACTGTGGATCCCAAACCATCCCACCCCACTGTGGATCCCAAACCATCCCACCCCACTGTCCCCACCCCACTGTGGATCCCAAACCATCCCACCCCACTGTCCCCACCCCACTGTGGATCCCAAACCATCCCACCCCACTGTGGATCCCAAACCGTCCCACCCCACTGTCCCCACCCCACTGCCCCAGTTCCAGCTCTGATCCTGGGCTGGAATAGGAGCAGGGAGGGCTTGGCCAAGGCAGCTCCTCATGAGGGCACCAGGGACCCCCAGCAGGGCCCTCCCTGTGACTCCAGGGAAAAGCAGGGAGGATTTCCCATTTTCCCCACTCTGCCCATCCCAGGGACCCCAGCAGGGCCCTCCCTGTGATTCCAGGGAAAAGCAGGGAGGAGGATTTCCCATTTTTCCCCCCGGCTCTCTGCTGGCATTAAAGACAAACCGCTGCCATCACTCCAACTCCACGCTCAGGACCTAATTCAATCCCACCCTGCTCATTGTTGGAGGGCTGAGCATTAAACTGAAACCCAAAGCCAGGCCTGCAGTCATTTGGCTGGGGAGGAATTGATTTTGGCCATCAGCACTTTCTCATTTTCGATGGAGTCCCCACGTAACCAGGTTAATTTCTGTTAATCCCATTAGCCAGGTACTTTTGGCTCTCCAGCCCAATGATTTTGTGTCTGATCTGAAAGATTGCAATTGCAACCCAAGAGGACACAAAGAGGAGCCTGTGATGGAGAGGAACTGGCCTGACACAGGCCCAGCTTCTCTTCCACCTAAAAACCAAACCCTCTCCACGTTTCCCCTCCCTCCAAACTTCCCCACGGTTAACGACCACGCACAGATCTGTCCCTAATTAATTTTTAATAAGATCTGTCCCTAATTAGTTTCCCCAGCAGTTCAGGTCCCCCATTTTGTTGGGCTGATGTCATTATTACAAGTTTGGCTCCTGGGCAAGTTGCAGGCCCAGGTTTCCTTCTCTTGCCTCGGGTCAGCGCTGGTGCCCACCAAGGGTTTCCCAGGGGGCTGATCCCAGCAGGATCCCAGCAGGATCCCCTGGAGCCGTGTGGGAATCCCTGGCACTGCCCCTTGTCCTCACCAGCACGGAGGAGAAACGGGAAAGGAGAAACTGAGAGGAGCCCCCCCAGAACAGCCAGGGTGAGGCAGGGTCCCCACCTGGCTGGGGACATCAGGGCCCTGTGCTCACTGCTAGCGAGGGCTGGGAGCAGGGTGAGCACGCCTGGGTCCCTGTCTGCATCCCTGCAACCCTGTCTGCATCTCTGCAACCCTGTCTGCATCCCTGTCTGCATCCCTGCATCCCTGTCTGCATCCCTGCAACCCTGTCTGCACCCCTGCATCCCTGTCTGCATCCCTGTCTGTATCCCTGCAACCCTGCCTGCATCCCTGTCTGCATCCTTTCCTGCATCCCTGCACCCCTGCAACCCTGTCTGCATTCCTGCATCCCTCCCTGCATCCCTACATCCCTGTCTGCACCCCTGTGTCCCTGAACTCCCTGTGTCCCTGAATTCCCCGTGTCCCTGTCCCTGAATTCCACCTTGTCCCTGAATTCCCCACTTCTATTTCACCTACAAAAGCTCCATTGCAACTACAAAACTACATTTGCCACGCTATGAAAATGTTAACACAGCACTTCTAATCGATAGAACACAGCACACACAGCATTCAACTTGGTATTTGCGAAAAGCCAATCATAAAATATGCATTTTTTTACATGGGGTATATCCCTCTTTTGGTGGCTCTTTTGATGCCTTTTTTAGTGGCTCTTTTGATACTTTTTTGGTGCCTTTTTTGGTGGCTCTTTTGGTGAAGGGCCGGGCCCTGCCATGGCCAGGGCTGCGCTTCCCTCTGCCGGGGCTGCTCTGCAATCCTGCTGTGAAAAATGCACATTTTATGATTGGCTTTTCACAAATATTACAATGAATATTATATGTGTAATGTCAGAAAGTTGTGCTGTATTAATTCTCTTAATTAGTGTGTTAAATACAGTTTTAGGTTCCAACATAATGTTAAAATACAGACTGTGTATGTGGGGGGAGTTATTTTTTTAGGAATGAGATACTCGCTTCGAGGAACACCTAAATCTTCCAAAGAAAAGGAATTTATGGTTTTCTTATCAGAAGAAGCTAATTTCTTCAGGCCTTGCCCAGACGCCATGGGGATTAATGGAAATACTTGACATACAACAGACAGAGTTCTTGTTTTAAACAGAATTTTTGCATAACCATTAAGGATATATGAATATGCAACAAGTGTATTGTTTTAAGGTTATTCCTTTGTTCACAAGGGATGCTTTTCGTGACTTAGTGTCCGAGAGCATCCAGACATCTGTCATTCTTTGCTTTTTATTGTCTTGTAATTGTCCTAACTCTAAACTTCATTACTCTAATTGTATTATTATTTTTATAACCATTTTATTATTATTAAACTTTTAACATTTTAATAACCAAGCGATCTGGCATTTTTCACGCTGCTCAGCCTCACCCACGGCCTTTGGCGCTGTCCTGAACGTGCCGAGCCCTCCTGAGCAATCCAGAGCGAAATCCATATGGAAATCCAGACTGAAATCCATAAGGAAATCTATATGGAAATCCAGACTGAAATCCATAAGGAAATCCATATGGAAATCCATAAGGAAATCCAGAGTGAAATCCATCTCCCTGTGAGGAGAGCCCGGCCACTGCGGCACTGCCACGGGAACCTGGGCTTGCTTCGCTCAGAAGTTGCAACAAAACTTCATTATTTTATTTATTTTATTTTATTTTATTTTATTTTATTTTATTTTATTTTATTTTATTTTATTTTATTTTATTTTATTTTATTTTATTTTATTTTATTTTATTTTATTTTATTTTATTTTATTTTATTTTATTTTAATTTATTTTAATTTTCTGTAACGGTGTCCCTGGGCCAGCGGCGGCGGCACCTCCCGCCCGCTAGGGGGCGCCCTGCAGGACCCGCCGGAAGTGCCGGGCGCACCGGAAGTACCGGGAACACCGGAAGTACCGGAACACCGGAAGGCGGAAGCGCGGGCGCGGCGCGATGGCGGCGGCGGTGTCGGCCCTCAGCAGCCTGGGGGTGCCCGAGGCCGATGTTGGGGTGAGGCGGGGCGGGAATCGGACGGGATCGGGGGTCCCGGCTCCTACCGGCGCTCCTGGCTGAGTGCGGCTCGTTGCAGAGCGAGGAGGAGGAGGAGGAAGAGGAGGTGGCAGAGCCCGGCCCGGCCGCGGCGGCGGCGGAGCAGAGGCGGGAGGAGCGGCTGCGCCGGTTCCGGGAGCTCCACATGAAGCGGGTACGGGTGACGGGAGCGGGGCCTGGCTGGCGCTGGGCGATCTCCGGAGCTCCCTGCCAGCCCGGAGTGCTCTGGGGGTGTTCGGGGTGGGTTTGCTCCCCGGGGGTTCGGGGGCTTTGTCCCCCCGGGGTTTCGGGGGTTTGATGTGGGTTTGTTCCCGTGGGCGTTCGGGGCTGTTCCATGGGGGTTTGGGGTTATTCCATGGGGGTTTGGGGTTATTGTATGTAGGTTCGTGGGTGTTCCATGTGGATTTGTCCCCCCGGGGGTTTGGGGTTGTTCGGTGTGGTTGGGTTCTGTGTCCCGCAGGGACTTGGGGCGGTTCCATGTGGGTTTGGGTTGGTTCCATGTGGGTTTGGGTTGGTTCCGTGGGGGTTTGGGTTGGTTCCATGGCTGTTGGGGTTCGCTCCCCGGGTTTCCCTCCCCTGCCCCATTTTGCTGCCCCATTTCCTGCAGTACGAGGCCTGCAAGCTGAACAGCCAGGAGGTGCTGGAGGAGGACAAGAGGCTGAAGCTGCCCCCGAACTGGGAAGCCAAAAAAGCCCGGCTGGAGTGGGAGCTGCAGGTGCAGGAGAAGAAGAAGGTAAAGAACCCCCGAGCCCCGGGTGGGCAGGGACACAGGGACACGCTGCAGCCTGCACAGAGGTCAGGCTGGGCTGTGGGGTAATTAACTGACCCCTGATTGTCACCCCAAACCCATGGGCTAATAAACTAACCCCTGATTGTCACCCCCATACCATATGCTAATTAACTAACCCCTGATTATCAGCCCAAAACCCCTGATTGTCACCCCAAACCCGTGTGTTAATTAATTAACCCCTGATTGTCACCCCAAACCCGTGTGCTAATGACACAAGATGACATAGCTGAGAGACTGAACTGGAAACAAGTTTCAAACCGTGGCCTTGCAGAAAAAGCAGAGATTTTGGAGAATTACACCTGTGAAAGGTGCATTGTGGCAGGACCACGTGGGGTAGAAATTACAGTTTTAAGAGTGTTTATTTAAAATCTTCTTTTTAAAAATAAAACCACCACTCCTAACGGTGTTGGGAGTAGGAACAGCAGCAGCTGAGAGGCTGAGGAGCATTTCTGAGGGGCTGTGAGCAGGAAATGGGCTGGTTGGTGGAGTTTTACACCTCCTGGGTGAGCACTGAGGGCGGAATGAAATCCCCAAATCCTCTGGGTCACCCTGGCTCTGCAGGGCTGGGATTAGCCAGGCTGGGATTACCTGGGCTGGCACTACCCAGGCTGGTTCCCTGGCACTACCCAGGCTGGTTTCCCTGGAGCTGGGATTACCCAGGCTGGTTTCCCTGGAGCTGGCAGTGCCCAGGTTGGTTCCCTGGCACTACCCAGGCTGGTTTCCTTGGCACTGGCATTGCCCAGGCTGATTTCCCTGGAGCTGGGATTGCCCAGGCTGGTTCCCTGGCATTACCCAGGCTGATTTCCCTGGAGCTGGGATTGCCCAGGCCGGTTTCCCCGGAGCTGGCACTACCCAGGCTGGTTCCCTGGCACTACCCAGCCTGATTTCCCTGGCACTGGCATAACCCAGGCTGGTTTTCCTGGCCCTGGCATTGCCCAGGCTGGTTCCCTGGAGCTGGCACTGGTTTCCCTGGCCCTGGCAGTGCCCAGGCTGGTTTCCCCGGAGCTGGCATTACCCAGGCTGGTTTTCCTGGCACTGGCAGTACCCAGGCTGGTTTCCCTGGAGCTGGCACTGGTTTCCCTGGCCCTGGCATTACCCAGGCTGGTTCCCTGGCACTGCCCAGGCTGGTTTTCCTGGCCCTGGCACTACACAGGCAGGTTCCCTGGCACTGGGATTACCCAGGCTGGTTTCCCTGGCATTACCCAGGCTGGTTTCCCTGGCCCTGGCACTACCCAGGCTGATTTCCCTGGCACTGGCACTACCCAGGCTGGTTCCCTGGCATTACCCAGGCTGGTTTCCCTGGAGCTGGCATTACTCAGGCTGATTTCCCTGGCCCTGGCACTGCCCAGGCTGATTTCCCTGGAGCTGGGATTACTCAGGCTGATTTCCCTGGCATTACCCAGGCTGGTTTCCCTGGCCCTGGCACTGCCCAGGCTGGTTTTCCTGGAGCTGGGATTGCCCAGGCCAGTTTCCCCAGAGCTGGCACTACCCAGGCTGGTTTCCCTGGCATTACCCAGGTTGGTTCCCTGGCCCTGGCAGTGCCCAGGCTGGTTCCCTGGCCCTGGCACAGCTCTCCCTGTGCTCCTGCAGGAGTGTGCAGCCCGGGGCGAGGACTACGAGCGGGTGAAGCTGCTGGAGATCAGCGCCGAGGACGCCGAGAGGTGGGAGAGGAAGAAGAAGAAGAAAAACCCCGACCTGGGTTTCTCAGGTAAAGCCTCAGCTCTGCCCACCTGTGCTGCTGCTGAGGTGGAAATGAAAATGATTTTGTTGTTAGAAGGTAAGGAATGATCTTTTATTCGTAAGTACGTTTCTCTTTTACAGAGAACATTGTGAAGACTAATTTTAGCGGACTTAAAGTAAAAATATTTTATATTATTGGTGCACTATGAAGAGCACACGGTGGTAGAACATATCTAATAACAATATGAACAGAAAGAGAGATAATAGAGAGATAATAGGTAAAATAATGCTATGAAATAGGTAAAATAATGCTGTAAAATAATGCTATAAAATAGGTAAAACAATGGTACAAAATAGATAAAATAATGCTGTAAAATAGGTAAAATAATGCTATAAAATAGGTAAAATAATGCTGTAAAATAATGCTATAAAATAGGTAAAACAATGGTACAAAATAGATAAAATAATGCTGTAAAATAGATAAAATAATGCTATAAAATAGGTAAAATAATGCTGTAAAATAATGCTGTAGAATAGGTAAAATAATGCTGTAAAATAATGCTATAAAATAGGTAAAATAATGCTGTAAAATAGGTAAAATAATGCTGTAGAATAGGTAAAATAATGCTGTAAAATAGTAAAATAATGCTATAGAATAGGTAAAACAATACAATAAAACAAGTGAAACAATGCAGTAAAATAGGTAAAATAATGCCATAAAATAGGTAAATTCATGCTATAAAAATATAAAATAATGCAGTAAAATAGGTAAAATAATGCTATAAAATAGGTAAAATCATGCTATAAAAATATAAAATAATGCTGTAAAATAGGTAAAATAATGCTATAAAATAGGTAAAATCATGCTATAAAAATATAAAATAATGCAGTAAAATAGGTAAAATCATGCTATAAAAATATAAAACAGGTAAAACAATGCAGAGAAGCAGGTAAAATCATGCTGTAAAAATATAAACCAGGTAAAGCACGCAGAGAAGCAGGTGAGACCTGCTGTGCAGGCCAGCAAACGCTGCTCTCTCCCCAGACTACGCGGCGGCACAGCTGCGCCAGTACCAGCGGCTGACCCGGCAGATCAAACCCGACCTGGAGCAGTACGAGCGGCTGAAGGAGCAGCAGTGAGTCCTGCACCCCCTGTGGGGTCTGGGGCAGCCAAGGGCAAAGGACCCCAGCCCATTCTGCTGTGGCCTGGGGTTTCTGTGTCTCAGCTGCTTGGGAATGAACCTCGTTAATCACCCCTGCTTCGGGAGGGCTGCTGGGGTAATTAACGAGTTCATTTCTGAGCTGGAGGAAGTGCCCAAGCACTTAGGTCACGTTTCAGTGCGTCACCAGGCACTTCTGGAGCAGGGTTTGGGGTTTTGAAGGCTTAAGGACTGAGACTTGTGCAGTTTGAGCATTTCTGGGGGTTCTGTGTCTCTCAGAGGCACCTGCAGGTCCCTCTGTTGGGTTTAATACTGACATTTAATGTCATGTGCATCTGGGATTCCCACAGCTGGGTGAGGTGTGACAGTGGAACTCGGGCAGAAGCAGGGAAACCACAAGGACACGGAGGGGCAGGACAAGGGATGAGGGGTTCAAAGTGGAAGGTGGGGGGATTTAGGTTGGATATTGGGAAGAAATTGTTCCCTGTGAGGCTGGGGAGGCCCTGGCAGAGATTTCCCAGAGCAGCCGTGGCTGCCCCTGGATCCCTGGAAGTGTCCAAGGCCAGGCTGGACGGGGCTTGGAGCAATTTGGGATGGTGGGAGGTGCAGGGCTGGGACTGGCTGGGCTTTAAGGTGCTCCCTGGGATTCTCAGGAGCCCCGGAGCAGTGCCAGGTGTGTAAGTGCTGCCCCTCACCCTCCCCACAGCGGGGACGCCCTGTACCCCACCTCGGACAGCCTCCTGCACGGCACCCACGTGCCCTCCAAGGAGGGCGTGGACAGGATGGTGGCAGACCTGGAGAAGCAGTGAGTAGCGGGGAGAGAGGGGAGGGAGGGCAGGGCTGGGGGTGCTGCAGCCCTGGGCTCAGCCCCTGCTGCCCCCAGGATCGAGAAGAGGGAGAAGTACAGCCGCAGGCGGCCCTACAACGACGACGCCGACATCGACTACATCAACGAGAGGAACGCCAAGTTCAACCAGAAGGCCGAGAGGTTCTACGGGAAATACACGGCCGAGATCAAACAGAACCTGGAGAGGGGCACGGCAGTGTAACCTGGCACAGCTCAGCTCAGCTCAGCTCAGCCTGGGCCGTGTGAGCCTGCCTGGCACAGCTCAGCTCAGCCTGGGCCCTGTGAGCCTGCCTGGCACAGCTCAGCTCAGCCTGGGCCGTGTGAGCCTGCCTGGCACAGCTCTCTCCTGCCTCCTCTGTTGCCATTTTCCATTGTAATTTGTATCCAAAGTAGATTTTTAGCAGTTGCTCTGTCAGCTCCGTGGTGTTTATTGTAGCGGACAATTTGCAGAATTCAGCTGTGAATAGCTTTGGCTGCGGGAGTAGCCAGGTTGTGCCTGTCACGCTCTAAATAAACTCCTTGGTCTAATTTGGGAGCTGTGTAGGTTCCGCAGGTTTGTGTGCCAGCAGGATGAAGAGCAGAGTGATATTCCCGTGGAAAGGCAGCTTGCTCCTGTCCCTGAGGAATTCCAAGGTGGGATTCCCCCATCCCTCAGAAATTCCAAGGTGGGATTCCCCCACCAGCAGCAATTCCAAGGGTGGGATTGCCCCTGTCCAGCCTCACCCACAGGGAGAGGATAAAACACAGGATCCTCCCCCCCATTCAAGGGTCTCTGAAAGAAGCTTCCAGACATTAGTCCATTCTGTTAATTTACTAACAATTTGTTTATACAAAACCCAAGTGTAACCAGGTACCCCCAAAATGCAAGAGCTCCTTTGCCTTCCTGGACTTCCTCCTGCCCCTTTTCCCTTCCTGCCTCTCAGGGAGGCTGATCTTAAAGCAAACCAGTAAAATAAACCCTGTAGTGACTGGGAATGGCCACGGTTCCTGGGGCAGGCAGCTGAAATCCTACAGTCCCACTCCAGAAGGCGCCCGGGGAAGGAAGAGGCCGTGATGGAGGCAGGAGCCACGGCCAGAGTGATCCAACAGCTCTCCCATGCTGCAGCTCGTGAGAGGAGCTGGGGAGTGCAAGGTAAACCCACAAATAATCACAGAAACTCAGGCCTAACACCTGACACAGCCAGTGCAAAACTAAACTTTATTCACTTGAAGTAAACAATTGCACAAGGTAAATCCAGGTGTTCAAAGAACAGCTACGCAACTATGGTTTAGAAAAAGTTACCCACCTGCAAGTTCTAGTCCAATAAAGCAATATAAAATATTTACAAATATACACAAGATTCCCATCTGTGGCTTCTGGATCTGTGTGCTCTCTCTATCTGAAAGAGAAACCTAAGATTCCAAAAATTAAGACCTCAAAATAAATACTCAGTATTAACAAGTCTTCAAGCCCATCAGAAATCTCCAAGTCTCTGCTGAGGGGTGCCTCCCCTCAGCGTGCCCGGAACAGGGCGCTTTTGGGTGAGAAGTTCAGGAATGTTTTCTTCTCCTCCTTCTTGACGGGAACCCACTGCCCATAGGGGCTTCCCTTCCTGTCATCCTCCCTGGCTGGAGAAACCACTGGCTCCTTAGCCACAGCGTGGCTCACTGGCTTCTGCAGGGCAGGCTTGGCCATTGTGTTCTAGGGGAAAAAAAAAGACATTTCCTGTAAGAAAAGGTGCTGAAAGCAAGGGGTTTATCATATAAAGCATATAAATGTTTTCTCTCCAGCTCCTGGAATTCCTGCTGCTTATACTGGGTATCAATCACATGCACAAAACACGGGAGAAATCCCTGAATTTTAAGTTTGCATTACTAAAACATGTAACTTGATGTAAGTTGTGTTTTAAACTAGTTCTAGTTTTGAATTGTTCAGGTTGAAGGTGAACACTTATTTCAAACACACTGCTGAGGTGTGTCCAGGGTGCTCTACCAACTCCTGCAGGGAAATAATGACCAAACATTAAATTCCCGTCGTTACTGAGGTGATGATGTGGGAAAAGCCCTCACTCAGGGATTCCATCACTCACATTAGGGCTGAAGGAGATGCTCCTCTGGATGGTTGCTCTCTCCATGCCAGCCTTGCTCACGTCCTCAGCTGCACTCCCAGGTTGCTAAAGAAGAGCAGACACAGCTTAAGAGGGGTTCCCTGGGGCAGGGCAGGCAGAGCAGAGCTCTCTGGGAGTGTTCCCTATTTCATCTCAAGTGGCTGTGAAGCCACAGCACAGCAGGGCTGAGCCCCGCCAGGGCTGAGCCCGGCCAGGGCAGCTGTGCCAAAGGCAGTGGAGCTGTTCCCGTGCCAACAGAGGCAGCTCCAGCCCAGCAGAGCCCAAGGAGGACCCAAGTCACAGAAAAGCTGCCACAGCAGAGCGGTGACACAGCGAGGGCACTGCACACCCATCCTGCAGGGCTTTGGAGAACAACAATAAACTTATCTGCAAGGGATGCAGGCCTCTTCTTCTGTACTCTCTCAACATCTGGAATATATTGCATATGTTTATGAAAGGGATGCCTGCACCATTTGTGTCAAACCCTCAGCAAATTCACGTCCCTTTCCACGAGCAGCACCTGAGGCAGGCAGTGGCTGCAGGTTTGTATTTACTGTGCCTCAGGGTAACACACCACGACAGATCCAAACTAAAATTCACTTTAAGCTGCTCCAGTTTCTCCCTCCCTTCAATTCACAGCAGCTACAGCCCACAAGTCCCTTAATTACCACCAGATTTTCTTCCTCATGTCTGGAACCATAGTCATGATTTCTATAAGACAGAAATAAAGTATGTAAAATGCATTGTGTGCTTGGGTATGGAATTTCTGGGAAACAGTTTGTTGCACATTAAAATCTTTTAACAGTTAAAAAAGGCAGAAAGATTTAACCTTAAAAAAAATAATCCCACACTATTCACTAGGTTTGGCAAGGATACTCCTGGTTTTAGGTCAGAAAGGCATAAACTAGTGGAATTCATGGGAAATATCCCATGAGGAGAACAAGTCAAAGAACAAGTCTCCTCTCCTTCCCCAGCTGTCCCTACTGGACACTCAGGGGATCAGCCAGCTCAGAGAGGGCCTCTGCTGCCAGCTTAGGGCAAAGCCTCGAGGTTTCTGGACAAGTTTTTGTTCAGGAGTTTGAGCTCATAAGCACAAGCTCCACAGCTGAACTACAGCACAGCCATGCAGACAAGTCTAAGAGGTGTTTACCTTGTCAGGGAGAACACTCCATACTTACCTCAGCTGACTCCGTGGATTCCTCACGCTCCTGCTTCTCAGTTTTGATCTCCTTGGCAGGAGCAGAGATCTTCAGGCTCGCTGGCAGGACAATGTTGTCTGTTCCCAGAGCTTTGGCAGCATTGGCTTTTGCAATTTCCAGCAGTTCTCTCTTGTCTAGAAGAGGAAGAAAGAGAAAAAGTGCTTTGTGTCACATTAAAATCCATGTGCACCTACTCAAGCCTAAATCCTGCAGGTTTGACATCTATGCAATCATCATCTGGGACCCATCTCATCACAGCCTGCCCCCCTGTGCCAATTAATGTTCCGAAGAACAATCTTTATTAAACTCATTTGTCCAAAACTGAGGGTTTTTTCACTTGTGCTTTACAAACCAAGCAAGCCGAGGAGAACCCGCCTGGCTCAAACAAAGCCTCTTTGTAGGCTCTCACAAGTACCAAGTACCTTTTTCACTGAGGTGCAGAGGCGACCTGCTCCGCGAGCGCGTGCGGGAGCGGCTCCTCCAGCCCCGGTAGGCCTCGGGGTAGACGCTCCTCCCGAAGCCGTAGTAGCGCCGGCCCCGGGAGCGGGACCGGCTGCGCGAGTAGGAGCGCCGGTAGCAGGCCCTGCCGCGGGACCAGGAGCGGGAGCGGCACCGGCGGGAGCGGGGCCGGTAGCGCCGGGGCCGGTAGCGGCCGCGGTAGCGCCGTGAGCGCGAGCGGCTGCGCGAGTAGGAGCGAGAGCGGTGCCGCCGCGAGCGCCGGGAGCCGTGCCGCCGGGAGCGGGACCGGGAGCGGGACCGGGAGCGGCTCCAGCTGCGCGAGGAGCGGCTGGAGGAGCTGCTGCTGGAGCGGGAGCTGCAGGACGAGCGGCCGGAGGAGCGGCTGCAGCTGCGCCGGGAAGAGTCCCCGTGGCCGGGCGAGCCCAGGCTCAGGTCGTCCATGAACTCCGTCACGGCGGCTGTCTGCCCTTTCTGCGCGCCCTCAGCCGCCGCCTCGGGTCTGGCTGCGGCTCTGCAGTGCCCCGTCTCTGTTCCTGTGGGGGGAGAGGGAAGGTCAGCCTTTATGGGCATTTCCTCAGCAACAACAAACGCGAGTGAGGCCAGGGATAATCAAACACCCCAGCGACCCCCGGCCATCTTCCAGTGACAGCTCAGCTCTGCAATTCCCTCTCCTGCAGTCAGCCTCAAAACTGAAACACAACGAATTAAACACCCCAGCGACCCCTGCCATCTTCCAGTGACAGCTCTTGAATTCCCTCTCCTGCAGTCAGCCACAAAACTGAAACACAACGAATTAAACACCCTAGCGACCCCCTGGCCATCTTCCAGTGACAGCTCAGCTCTGCACTTCCCTCTCCTGCAGTCAGCCTCAAAACTGAAACACAAGGAATTAAACACCCAGACGACCCCCAGCCATCTCCCACCAACACTGAACACTCGCCTCCAGTCAGCCACAAAACTGAAACACAAAGCTGTGTGAAAAATGAAAGGTTTCAGTTTAAACCATGAGTGGTTCTGCATGGAATTTTGGAGAGAGGTCTGTGTGGGTTTTAAGTGTAATTCCTTGCTCACCACCTTTTTTTCCTCCAAAAAACAGGAAAATCTTGACATTCTTGAAAAGAATTTTTCAGGTATTTTATCATCCTAAATATACAGGATCCATTGCGTCTATGATACAAAATAACCATTTGCTTTCTAGCCAAGTACAAATTAAGTTTTTTGCTACAATTCCTTCCCGTTGGATACTCCAACAAGGGAAAACGAAACTACCTTGTAACTATAACGCAGCGATGATCTTGCCTGTATCTCGCTATGAAACTCGTGGCACACAGCTCCACACATCCCAGCAGCGCACTCAACAAGCTGCTGCTAAAAACGCTCTGTGCAAAAGGCGAGAGATGATCCAGCGGCCGTGACTCGCACAGGACACCCCTTACGTCTCTAAATTAATAATTAAAATGGCTGTCTCTGGAGTGGCAGCCATTTTACGGCTACAAAGGTTACCCGGGGTAGGAATCTTATCACAAGACTTAAGCCCAGAGTTACGTAACCAGTTTAGGGCAGCTTGCTTTGACACGGAAATCTCTATTTAGCGCTCGGCGCAAAGTGAAGTTCGGCAACAAATCCAACCCGCGCACTGAAATCTGATTAAAATTTAAGTTGCGGGAGAGTCGTCAGACGCGCTTCTCTAGCTGAAGTTTCACTATTTGATCTGTACGCCAGGACCCAGGTGACAGAGCCGGGACAATAATCATAGAAATAAACCCCCGAGTGGCCGGGCCGGCGCCGCCGAGCCCTCAGCGCTCCCTCACTCACCGCTGGGCGCCGCCGGGCACGCCCCACGCTGGTTCCCCTGAGGCACCTGCGCGCTCCTGGAACGAAACAAAAACCATAAAAACCCACCCGTGAGCGCCCCGCAGCCCTCACCGCCACCGCCCTCTCTCCCCCCAGCCCCGGCCGTGCCCGGCCCGCCGCCTCACCGGCTCCAGCCCGCCGGGCTGCCCCCGCACGGGTCCTGAGGGGAGAGCCCCGCTTCGTGAGTCACACCCATAGCACTGCGCCGATAGAAGCGCGATAGAAGCGCGATAGAAGCGCGACAGAGCCGCAACCCGCTGCCGCCGCCGCCGCCCGCCACCGACTGAGGGCGGGCCCCGAACCTTCCAGAACGTCCCTCCCGTTACGCAACCCGCGCGCCCGCCGCGCACGCGCCGGCCCCGCCCACCCCCGCCGGGCTCCGGCCCCGCCCCGGCGCTCCTCGGGACGCGCCCGCGCTGCGCATGCGCGCGGCCTCCGCCGCCGCGTCCCGTGACGGTGCGCGGGGAGCGCGCGGGGAGCGCGCGGGGCCGGGGGCGCGCACGGTGCGGGGGATGCGCGGGGATGTGTGGGGTGCAGGGACCGTGGGGCCGGGATGCGCGGGGTGCAGGGACCGGGGTGCGGGGATGTGCGGGGATGTGCGGGGTGCAGGGACCATGGGGCCGGGATGCGCGGGGGGCAGGGACCGGGGTGCGGGGATGTGCGGGGTGCAGGCACCGGGGTGCGGGGATGCACGGGGTGCAGGCACCGGGGTGCGGGGATGCGCGGGGTGCAAGGATTAGGGTGCGGGGAATGCGCGGGGTGCAGGGACCGGGGTGCGGAGGATGCGCGGGGATGCGCGGGGTGCAGGGACCGGGGTGCGGGGGATGCGCGGGGATGCGCGGGGTGCAAGGATTAGGGTGCGGGGAATGCGCGGGGTGCAGGGACCGGGGTGCGGGGACCGGGGTGCGGGAATGCGCGGGGATGCGCGGGGTGCAGGGACCGGGGTGCGGGGATGCGCGGTGAGCGCCCCGCGGGATGCGGGAGCCGGGTGCGGTGAGCGGATCGGGGGTGCGGGAGCGGGGTGCGGTGCGCGGATCGGGGGTGCGGTGAGCGGATCAGGGGTGCGCCCCGGTGAGCACCGGGTCCCCGCCGCGGTTCCCCGCACGGACGGAGCTCCCGCTTCCTCCCGCAGTCGCTGGCAGGCAGAGCCATGTCCGGGTTCCTGGAGAGCCTGCGGTGCTCCGAGTGCGTGGACTGGGGCGAGAAGCGCAACACCATCGCCTCCGTGGCCGCGGGGGTGCTGGTACGGCCCCGCCCTGCTCGCGATTTTTGGGGGGTCTTTGGGGCTTTTCTGTCATAAGATAAAAATGATGAGCAGTGTGGGAGTCTCGCCTCCCGCGGTGCAAGTGGGAGGATGAGAGGGAACGGCCTCAAGGTGCACCAGTGGGAGTTTAGGCTGGATAAAAAGGGGAATTTCTCCACTGAAAGGGTGGCCAGGCATGCTGGAGTCACTGCCCTGGGAGTGTTTAAAAAATAAGCGGATGTGGCGTTTGGGGACACGGTTCAGTAGTGACGCGGTGGGTTGGAATTGATGATTTTAGAAGCCCACTCCGACCTCAGCAATTCCGGGGAAAGGAAGAACAGGGATACATTGTCCCTGTGTGTAGCAGCAGAGTTACTGACAAAACCGGGCCTGGTTTCCTCCGTCCGTTTTTTTGTTTAAATTTCCCAGTTTTACCCAGGAAGTAACTGCTGGAGTGTTCAAATCCCTGGCTTTGCAGTCAGCTTGATCCCGAACTGACAGCAAAACTGATGGTGTCACAGTTTAGTCTGGGTTAGAGACTGTAAGGCTGTTTAAATATTGATGATGTTTTTCCAGAGCGATCTCACAGTCTGGGGAAAGACTGTGTCTGTATTTTAAGCTCTGTATTTTAATCTCTGTATTTTAAGCTCTTTCCCCCCCTCAGTTTTTCACAGGCTGGTGGATCATCATCGATGCTGCTGTGAAATACCCTCAAGTGGAAGACTTCAACCATTCCTACCATGCCTGTGGGGTGATTGCCACCATCGCCTTCCTGATGTAAGGAATTCCCTGCCCTGCTCCCAGCAGAGCAGTGAGAGTGCAGAGGAGAGCTTTGATGCCACTTCTGTCCCCTTTAATGTCCCTTCTGTCCCCTTTAATGCCCCTCCTGTCCCCTTTAATGCCATTTCTGTACCCTTTAATGCCCCTTCTGTCCCCTTTAATGCCCCTCCTGTCCCCTTTTCCCCAGGATCAACGCCGTGTCCAACGGGCAGGTGCGAGGGGACAGCTACAGCGAGGGCTGCCTGGGCCAGACAGGTACCAGGGCTGGGCTCACACCCCTGTTTTGGGGTCTGTGGGGTTTGTAGGGTCTGTGGGGTTTGTGGGGCCGGGTGCCCCAGGGGTACAGGACATCCCCCATCCCATTGCAGGGGCTCGGATCTGGCTCTTCATCGGCTTCATGATGGCTTTTGGGTCCCTCATTGCCTCCATGTGGATCCTTTTTGGGGGCTACGTGGTTAAAGGTAAGAGCTGACCCTATTTTTGGAAGTTTAAGGTGTTTTTAATGACTCCAGGATTTTAGAGTTGGTGTTTAGAGGGTTTCTAGGCAGGCCCAGTTTGAACATTTTGCCCTACTCATCACTCTGCCATATTATTACAGATATTGGGATGGATTTGATCTAAGTACAAACTTCTTCTACAAACCCAGCTCTTGCCCAGCTGGGAACTCCATGGATATAATTAAGCTGCTGCAGTTTTAAGGGAATAATTCCCTGGGTGAACACTTATTCCCACAATACAAATTACATTCCTGCAGATTGCTCCCAAAGTCTCTCTGCTAAAGTAGCACAAGGGGAAATTACATGTCAGAAACGGGATATGCTTGAAAATTACATTAAAAATTTTTTTATGGGGATTTTTTTTCTCAGAAAAACCAGTGGTGTACCCGGGAATAGCAGTGTTTTTCCAGAATGCATTCATCTTTTTTGGGTAAGACTGTCCTCTTTTATTTGTTTCCTATTTAATTTTAATGATAAAAAAACTGAAACTTGCTGTGATCTGGTTGGTCCTAAAGTCCTGTTTTGTAAGCAGACCTGTGTGAATAACCTGGGATCTGCCTGCACAGGAACTGGATTAACAAATCCCCCTTGAAACCCTGTTTTTAAACAAGAGGAATTTGATTTGTGGTGTCCCTTTGCTGTGTTTCCACAGGGGCCTGGTGTTCAAGTTTGGCCGCACAGAGGATTTGTGGCAGTGAAACCCCCCCTGGAGTGACCTGGGCTTTAACTGCACCCCCCAAAGTTTTGTAAAACCATTTTGTAAACCTTCCATTGTGTCTGAAGAGAAATCAAGGAAAGCTGAAAGCACTAAATCCAGCTCTATTCCGGTTATTTTTTTTACTCTTGTACTTCCACTTCAGTGTTGTGGTGTTTTTGAGAAATGTAAAATTGCTACAAACAACAGTGGAGTCACTTTTCTAAAATGATGTTTGTTACAAATAAAAGGAGAGTGGAATATGGATGTATTTAACCAGCTATTTCTATGATGTTATTTACAATCCAAGACTTACTAAAACTGCATTTAAACAACCTTTTAACAGATATTTATTAAATATTTCCTATATCTGGGCAATATAACCATTTCTTCAATTTCAAAACTTGCTGGTGTGTGGCTTTTCTTATGTAATTCAGAATTGTGGTGGTTTGAGATTTTTCTTCCCTGAATATTTCATTTATCCTGGGAAGTAACAACTCACAGTTGCATGTAGAAGGTTTGGGCAGCTGCTGGACTCCTGCTGGCTCTCTGGGAGCTGGGAACGAGGCAAACTGGCCCTTCCTCTGCAAGCCTGCATTCCTTGGGAGCTGCCTCCCTCTGTAGCTGCAGGGATCAGCAGTGAGTGAATGAGGCCAGGGAGCCTCATCAAAGGACTCAGCCTCGTCACGAGCTCCCCCATTCATTCCTCCCAGGCTGCTGAAGGAAGAGAAACAGCCACGTTTTCACTCCTGTACTGCTGTAAAGTTTTCTGTGTCAACTGGTTTTGAAAGTAAGAGACACTGAGGATCACAATTCACTTAAAAACAGGGTTCACTAGCAGAGAATCCTCTGTCCCCAGAGTCCCTGCACTTCCAAAATGCTGGCAGCACTGAGGGCCAACCCCTGAGCTGGGCCAGGCTCTCCCCTCCCAGACACTGCCCTGAGCTCAGTTTGTGTTTTACACTTGGCAGCAAACCTCAGGGGTTCCAGGAACACCACCCACAACTGAACTTTTGCCATCAGAACCTCCCAACATCCAGCCCCAACCAGATTTTTCCAGGAGCTCAGGCTGGCAGGATGCAGAGTTCTGGCTCTGCTCCAGCTCACTCATCAAATCCTGGCTTGTCAAGGCTTTCAGCAGAATCACTTCAGCTTAAAAACTTGACTACCTTGCTAGATAAGAAGAGCTCCTTGAGAAATGACACTTTCAAATCCATCATTTTGCCTTGTAAACTCGGGAGCTAAAAATAGTTTAATGTTTCCAAGCACTTGGGCTGATAAGCCATGAATGCACACAACTTTTTTGTACATGTCTTCTAAAAAATATTTTAAGGTAAGGCCAACAAAGCAGAAAAGCTGAAGTTTGCATCTGTGAATTCACACTCTGTATCTTTGAAGAATAACTGGAACAGTTTCGTTTTTCAGTGTCCACTGCAGTGGCTTTTGTGGGCCTGAGAATTGGTATTTCAGTGCTCTTTGAACCCATCATAGCTTCAGTGTTTCTGGTGATAAAGAAGAAAATCTTATCTTGGTCCTGTCAGCTGGAATCCTCCATCAAAATCCAACAGACAAGTGGGGAAACTGTAAACACAAACATTCTTGTATCAGAACATATCATCACAGGAAAACCCCTCAAAACAATGGAAAAGCTGGTTAAAAGCTTATTTTCACAGCCTCACCTAAGGGTGCCCAAGGACTGTGCATCAAAATGTGCTGGGAAAAGGAATAACCCTTTATTTCCCCATATTTTTAATTCAAATACCTGGAGTTCTTTATCAAGATGCTAAATGAAGTCCCCCACTGTGAATCTGAAATAATTTTGAAACTCACCTCCCAGTAAAACTGGTCATCAAAGTACTTTGAGACATGCACTGCTTTCAGCAGTTTGATGTTTAAGATTAAACCTGTAGTTAAAGAGAGAGAGATGCAAAATAAACACCAGGGCAAGGGGAGGATTGTGTGTAACAGGAGTTTCTTGGCAACATTTATCCAAATGTAATGGATGAAAACACAAATTCAGACCCAAATCCTCCAGCAGACCCCCCGACCCAAGCTGGCCTTAAATACAAAAAGAGGCTTGCCAGGATCAAGGCTTGGGACACTAAAATTAATTACTTTAGGTAAAACCCCATTAAACAGCTGCTAGATTATGAAAATACATCAAAATTATGAGTTTCTTGCATGAGAAGTGCCTGTGTATTATTTATCTGGTTTATCAGCACTGTTAGTTTGGGATCTCTGGGCTTTTGAACAATTGGTTAAACACTGAATGTTTGGTTATTTCAGCTGGATGTTTCCTAAAGATCTATTCCTTCTTCATTACACTTAAAGTAATGCAAAGGTTTGAATAAATTAAAACACTCAAAAATCATTGTAGGGTGTGTTTCCCAGCAATTTTCATTGGCCATTTCTCTGTTGCTCCAGACAGAATTAGGGGCTGGAGAAAAGCAGCAGCTGCCACAAACCAGAGCATTCCACGGGAGCCATGTGAGTGCTGCTGCTCCCAAAGCACCAAAAAGTCCCAAAAATCCCAAAATCTCCTGATCAAAGGGCTGCAGCTGGGCTGAGGCAGCTCCTGATGTTCCTGAAACTTTGCACATTTGCTCCAAATGGCCTAAAAAGTGACAAGACCCAGACTGGGGCATCTTCTGCCAATAAGACAACACCCAAAAGTGGAAGAATTTTCATCTTCACACCTCTCCTGTCAGCAGGTTGAAGGCAGCTGTTAAACCTGGGTTAAAATAAAACTTCAGCACTGAAAGAATGGTGCTGCTGGGTTATTTCTGTGCAAAACAGCTCTGGCTGGGAGGAGTCCCTGGCACTCATGTTTCCACTTATTCCACAAGTGATTTACCCACAGAAACTTGCTCAAAGGAAATAAAGGATGTTTCAGTACTGACCTGTAATGAAACCTGTTATCAAGGCAGTGCTGATGGTCTGACAGAAGGCACCAATATAATAAAAGGCAGTGTAACCCAAACTGAAAAGCAAAAAAAAAGTGTTTCAGCTTTTATTTAGCATTACCACTGTGAATGAATCTGCATCTGTCAAAATCTCTCACAGAAGCTGTAATTCTCAAACCTGCAGCTGCAGTGAGATGTTTTAGAAACATACCAAAAGCCTAATGCAGATTTCAGCAGATTTGTTTCGTCCACCTTTTTGGTATTAAAACTTAATTAAATTTGTTTCATTAAGAACGTGATGAGAAGTGTCAGGCCCTCATGCTGCACTCTCATTTCTGCCTCCCTCCTAAGCTCCCCAAAACATCCCAGACCCTAAAGGGAGTCTTGGAGGGAGGCACATGTCAAGCCTTCATCTCCTGTATGTGCTGCATTTAACATGAGCAAAAAGGGAGAGAGAAAACAGGACCCAAAGGCTGCTCAACTCTCAAATTCCCTTTTACTGACTGTTTTTTTTTGTTTGGACTTCAGGGGTTATCTTGGGTTACCTGATAGAAAACAATGTATCTGTGATGCCATTCAGGCTCTCTGGATGTCTGACAACTCTTCTCGGGGCACACTGCAGTGCTGATTATTTCTCTTCATTATTTAATACAAGAATTGATGTACCTGGATAAATCATTCCATTGTGTCGCAATCCCGTCTTCTACAACACGGAGAACAACAGCGGCCACAGCTCCAAGCACAGCAGGCAAACCAAAAGTGAAATGGACTCCAGAAGTATCCTGAAGCTTCAAAGCAGGATTAAAGCACCTCTGGGAAGAAGAAAAGGTTTCATTGACACCCAGAAACACAAGTTGGTAGTTGCAGACCTAGAGGATGAATTTGCTTCCAAGAGCTGCAATCCTGCACTCTGCTCAAAACACCTCAGGTTTCCTAGTTTGGAAAAGAGGTTTCCCTTGAGGTATCCTGCATTGGAAAAAACATTTACACAGCTTATCCAAGAACCATTTAGGGGTTTGAGCATTACCTGTAGACAGTGAGATCCCAGGATGGTGATGACACTGCCCAGCAGCCCCAAAATCATGGCAATCCAAGGGTGCTGGATGAGGTGTGCAGTGTAGCTGACAGCAACGCCTCCAGCCAGGGCTGCACTGCGGATGTGAGCCTGGAAGGAACAACAGCAGGCACTCAGGGCACTTCTGACAAGGGTTTGTGGTGCTGCAACAAGGCTTTAAACTGAAAGAGGGAAGGTGCAGATTAAATATTGGGAAGGAATTGTTCCTTGGAGGGTGGGCAAGCCCTGGCACAGGCTGCCCAGAGCAGCTGTGGCTGCCCCTGGAAACCTGGAAGTACCCAAGGCCAGGCTGGACAGTGTTGCCCTGATTTTTAAAAGTGTTAAGTTTTCTTTTATAGTTATTTTGAAAGTTTTAAAGTTCTTTTAAAAGTTTTCTATGCCTTCTGATGTTTACATATTTCTACTGGAGTTCTCACACACTGTTGGTGTAAATAATGATTGTTTTACCTTCTTCTTTGTAAGAAGAGAGAATTAATGAACTCTTACATTGACCAGTGTGGTTGGAGAGGTGGGAATTCCATCCTCCAGTCCACAGCCACTTTTGGAATTCTATATATTGTGAAGTCAGAAATAAAATTGTCTCTTTTTCTCTTTTGAACTTACCAAACTTCTGTGTACTCATTTCGTGTTCAATAACAACAGGACAGGGCTTGGAGCACCCTGGGATGGTGGGAGGCGTCCCTGCCCATGGCAGGGGGTGGAATGAGGTGATTTTTGATGCCCTTTTCCATCCAAACCCCTCTGTGAGTCTGTGACTGTCAGATACTTACTCCTGGACAAGGTTTCAGTTAACAGCTGTTGTATTTCCAGCGCATTCCTGAGGGTACCAGAAAATCTCTTTGAACAGAAAAACCCCATGCAGGGTCTTCCCTTGTCCTTACCATTCTGAATTTGCCATCCTTGGAGGTCAGAGCAGACAACATGAAGGCAGCCACAGCACTCACTGCAAGGGCCAAGTAAGTGTTGAGCACTGCTTTCTTCTTGGACTCAGCCAGGACAGAATTGAAGCTTGGCCAGAACACCCAGACAAACACAGTGCCTTGGGGACAAGGACAAGAGACCCTCAGGAGCTGCTCTGAACCACAGGGAACCCATCACTGCCTGTCTCTGGAGGGCTCCAGCCCACAGTGTGCACTCACTGTAATTCCCAAACCTTTCCCAAAGCACAGCCTCCTCTAAGATCACTCCCAGTGGGGAACTGTCAGTGTCACACCTCCATGACCACTCTCTAACAGGAATGAAAACAGGTTCTTCTGCTTCCTGCCCCTAATGGTGAGTGTTTGGGAGCCTCCCTCCCCGGAGCAAGTGCCCTGCCCGGCAGGATGCATTCTCCTCACCTGCCCGGGGCAGCCAGCAGAGGGACGCCGGTGGCCTCAGAGCACCCCAGGCTGAGCCACCGCCCCGTGGGCTGGGCTGGGCACAGACACCAACCCGAACACAAGCCAGCAGCTCCCTGGGCGTTGCCAGCTGCTGTGTTTTGTTTCCAGCCTACCCCCATCACTGATGTTGTGTTCCCCACCCCACAGAGGTACCAGAGCCTTGTGCCATCCACCTGAGAGGACATTTGATGTGTTTTTGTCCAAGACCCCTAACATGTGACACAGGCATTGGCACTATGCGGCACAAATCCAGTTTCCAGCAGCCCAGGCAGGCACTGATTTTGTACCAGCTTGTCTTGGCTCTGTGAAATCCAGTTTCCATTGCTAATATTCCTGATTTCAGTGCACCAAGGCAGAGAAAACCCTGCCTCAGACAGGAGAGGCCATTTCAGCAACTCTGAACTTAATGACTGCACTGAGGACTTGTGAGATGATTCGTCCTATTCCCATTGATCAGGCAGTTAGTCAGTCATAAATACAGATATAACATCCTCTGCAGCATTCTTACGAGTATGTGCTCAGCTCTGGAAATAAACAGCAAACAAGAACTCCAGGGACACAAAAGAGCAGCAGTTAAGATTTGTATTCCCCAAACTGGGCAAAGACTGACTGAGAATGAGACTCTGTGGACCCCTGCAGGAAGCTCTGGGTTCAGCTGGAGGTACTTGCACTACAGAAGCTGTGATAATAAAGACACCAAATTGCTTCCATAAGAAAATAAATGCAAGTCCCAGACACTGAGCCTGTCCCTCCCCAGCTCCTCTTTCGTGGGCCTGCCTGTATCACACTCCCCACCCTTCACCAGGCTTTATCTTTTTATTTCTGTTACCAGCAGGGACTGCGCCTTTCTATCTCTGTGCACCACCTGGACAAGCAGCCTGAGCTCTGCTGAAATACAAGCGATGAGCTCAGCTCTGGCACACAGCCCCTCACCAGCAAGCCAAGGGGGACAGCTTGGCCAGGAAAGGGAGTGGTGAACCTGGAGAAAGAGCTGCTAACCTGGAGGAGCCTTTATGCCGAGGTGACAAAGCAAACTGAGCCCCAGCTGCGGCAGGAGTGGCCTCTGGGCCACGGAGGAAAGGGGCCACTGTCACAAAGCAGGAAGCACAGCAGCAGTTCCTGTGCTTGGCTGCATTCAGAGCTGCATTTTGCATTTAAACCCCCAACCCTCCTCATGTTCTCCCTGCAATCCCTCTTCCAGCTGAGGCATTCCAGCCAGGACTCACCCAGCACTGAGAACAGCTCTGACTTTGGGGTGCTCCTGTTCTTGTCCAGCCCTGGGGGAAGCTCAGGGAAGCGGGAGGTGAGTGCCAGACCAAAGTAAGCTCCGAAGAGGTGCACGTGCATCACGGTGAGGGGCTCTGGGACCTGTGCCAACAGAATATTCACCGTCTGTGGGCTGCTCCAGGCCACACAAAGCCTTTGCTGCAGCTCCTGACTGAGCTGTTCCAAAGCTCCAGTGACATTTCCCCCCACAGATCTGCAAATCCCACCAGGGTACCTCCAGCAATGTCCTGTTGATGCATCTGCTCACGTAGAAAAAGATTAATTCCACCAGGGTCATCACGATTAACTGCACAGGATTGGCCTTGCCCAGGACTGCCCCAGTGGAGATGACCACAGCAGTTGTGCTCACCACAGCCTTTGCTAGACTGCAAGAAAGAAAGGAAAGAACAACTCAGTCTCAGGGTGAGAGCAGGGCCAATAAAAAGGAATGGCACAGAGCAATGCACTTAAAAAGCAAAAGCCCTCTAAAATGCCTGCAAATGTGACTCTGCCAATCCCTAGCAGGGCCCCATAAAGGGGCATTCACCTCCACAAGGAGCACTCAGCAGTTCTGCACTAGCCCAGCTCTAACATGGACTCATTACCTTTCCATACCAACTTGATTTTGCTGTCCCCTAATGAAAACTAATAAATCTTCTGCCAGCATAGAGCACTGGACACCCAGAACAACCAGAAAGAAGTTGAATCCAGTGCTGCTAAAGCCATATCTTCTCAGAACCATCAGGAAGAAGCCAAATCCAAAAATCACCATGTGGGTGACATCTTGAAATGCTACAGGACAGAAAAGAACAAGACAGCAGTGAAATTATTGATGCAGACTTCTGGTTAAAAAAATCAATTTAAAAATTACAATTAACTAGGAAGCCTTCAGATAAAAAAATTAAATGCCACTATTGTTTAGCACTTGCAAAGAATTTTGCAAAGAATTTTGCAAAGAATTCCGGAGCTTTCTCTCCAATCTATAATCAGAGAAAAAATACTCTTAATGCTGAATTTAATTTTACACAGTTATCTGAATGGATGCCACCCGATGGGGGCCGAATGGTCAAAAAACCCAACAGAAAACTGACCAAAATTACAATTTAGTCTTGGACAAAGAAACTCCCACCACTCCTGGCAAGTTCAAAAGCAATAAAACCGTTCTGCTTCTCACCACCAGGCTCTGCTGAATCCCACCCAGCAGCAGGGATCCCCCCTCCTTTGCCAGCAGGGTGCCAGGCTTACCTGGGTAGGAGTTGGATGAGGCGTAGGTGTCACTAACACCTGGGAAGCCGAAGTAAGAGCGGGTGAGGAGCAGAGCTTGCAGCAGGAGGATCAGCCAGGGCACGCTGCAGCGGAAGCTCAGGTACCGGGAAGGCATCGTGCATTCTGCTACATGGAGCACCAACTCATCACTTGCTCCTTTTCCCCGGGAAAACCTCCCCGTGCCCTCACCCCAACAGCAAAGGAGGCGTGGGGGGGCAGCAATGAGGACTCAGCGAGAGATAAAAAGGCCCAGAGGCGTGAGCAGGGAGCAGCTCCTTATCTGCGCTGTGGCAGGAGCCCAAACTCTGCCCAGCTCACAGGGGCTGAGCCCACGGAGTGCCCGTGGACATGGACATGGCCAGAGACAGGGGCAGAGCAAAGTCACGGCCAGAGAAAGGGCCAGAGCCAGAGCAGAGCCAGAGCTGGAGCCAGACCATGGCCACAGCCAGCCCTGCCCTGCCCCAGGACACCTCCCCAGGCCACTCCAGTGCTGGGGACCCAAAGGGCAGGGACACCATAACTCCACGAGCAGCACCGTTGTTTGTTCACTTGGCCTCAAGTCCTGGCACAGAAAGGAGGGGAGGGTCCTGCTGAGACCCCAGGGTGACCCCACAGCTCTGCAGGCACATCCCACAGCCAACCTCGTGTGGATGGAGCCAACCCAAGGCAGGGAATCGGGGAGCTCTGGGGATGCAGCAGCTCCTCTGCTGCTGTGCGATCAGCCTGTTGCACATATGGCCGTGGGAACAGCTTCAGGGACATTTTATGGATCCGCAGCACAAATCACAAGGTGGTTTGGCTGGGAAGGGACCTTAAAGCCATCTAGTGCCACCCCTGCCATGAACAGGGCCACTTCCCAGGCTGCTCCAGGCCCTGTCCAACCTGGCCTTGGAGACTGCCACAGCTTCCCTGGGCACCTGTGCCAGGGCCTCACCCCCTCTGAATAAAGAATTTCTTCTTAATATCCCCTCCAACCCTGCCCTCTGGCAGTTCCAAGCCACATAAAAATCCCTCTCTTCCCTTTACAAGCCCCCTTTAGCACTGGAGGAGCGTTTGTCCCTTCTCAGTGTTCACGGTGCCCTTTTGCCCAGGCAGTTCAGAGCAGAGCGCTGTAATTACACCTCAGGCTCTGCTCTGTCACAACCCCAGCAGCCTGAGGAGAGCCCGGGAACCGGCAGAAACGTGCTCAGAAATAGGGATAAAGCCACCTGCTGGTGACAGGGACATTTATCAGGCAGAAATACAGGCAGAAAACTCACAGTTCAGCTTCAGGCCATCCCTCCTGCCAAGCCAGGCTGTACGGCACAATAACAGTGTGTAAAGCATCTGTGCAAGGCTTGGATTTGTGGGGATGGCTTGAACCTTCCTCCCATCCAATATCAAACTGCTTTAATATCAAAGCACTTTAGTATCAGCTTTTCTTTAAAGTTCTTCCCCACGAGGGTGAAGAGGCCCTGGCACCTGTTCCCCTTGTGAAAAAAGCCAATCACTTGGGTTTTTTTTAAAGTTTAATAATAATAAAATGGTTATAAAAATAGTAATACAATTAGAGTAATAAAATGTAGAGTTAGGACAATTACAAGACAATAAAAAGCAGAGAATTACGGACGTCCGGATGCTCTCGGACACTAAGTCACGAAAAGCATCCCTTGTGAATAAAGGAATAACCTTAAAACAATACACTTGTTGCATATTCATATATCCTTCATGGTTATGCACACATTCTGTTTAAAACAAGAAACTCTTGTCTGTTGTATGTCAACTATTTCCATTAATCCCCATGGCGTCTGAGCAAGGCCTGAAGAAATTAGCTTCTTCTGATAAGAAAACCATAAATTCCTTTTCTTTGGAAGATTTAGGTGTTCCTCGAAGCGAGTATCTCATTCCTAAAAAAAAAAAACAAACTCCCCCCACATACATAGTCTCTATTTTAACTACTAAAACCTTCATTTTAACTACAAAAGCACAACTAATCAATATAACATAATACATATAGTAACTATCTGCGTAGAGCCATATCATACGCATTTTTCACAACACGAAGCGCTGTGGGGTCTCGGGCTCCATGGAGGCGGGCGCTGGGGTGGGGGCTCAGCGGGGCGGTCTGGCGAGCGGGGGCTCGCAGCCGGGGCCCACAGCGGTGCCGGTGCCCACAGCAGCAGTGCCGGTGTCGGTGCCGGTGCCCACAGCAGCGATGCCGGTGCCGGTGGCGGTGCCGGTGCCCGGCCGTGACTCGGCAGCCCCCGGCGGCGGCACCGGCCCCTCACGGAATGCCCGCCCCCTCCCCACACACCGCCCTTAGGGACTGCCCTCCCATTGGCCGAGCGCAGCGCCTCCTGCCCTCTGATTGGCCTAACCGCAACACCGGCCGTCTTCGGGCCGCGCGTTCTGTGCTGTGATTGGCCCGCTGGGGTGTCACTCATCTACGCGCGGTATTTATTGGCTGGCGGGCCGGGGGTTATTTCGCCCTCCGGTGAGCGGCGGCGCAGGCCGCGCTGTGGGGGCGGCACAAACTGTCACTGCCTGACTTTGCACCCCTTTCCCGGCTGCCCATTTGCCAGCGAGGCTGTCAGTCAAGCGGGAGAGGTGGCACCTGGGTGCTACGGTGACAGAGGAAATAGAGCCCTCCTTCTTCCGTTTCCGAGTGGATGGCTGAGCTGTCCTTTTATTTTTCTGTTTCTCCTCCATTGGGCAATTTTGCTGTCGGTCACCGCAAGGGGCGGGAACCAGTCCACTGCACAGTAGGCGGGAGGAGACCAAAATCTGCATTTTAATTGGTTGACAGACAATCAATCACAAATCATCCCCTCTGACTGGGTTATAGGGCCGTCACTCACAGCGGAGGGCGTGCCACGCGACGGTACGAGGTGGGCTCAACTTTCCTGCACTGCGATTGGTCCATTGTACCGTCTGTCTGCCTTCCCCCGTTGCCGATTGGTCGGACATGCTGTCACTCAGGTGGGATCAACCGTTTGATTGGTGCTGGCCGGGGAGGCGGGGCACTGCGCGGCGGCTGCGCGGGGGGACACGGCGGGGAGGGACGGACCAGGAATTATTTTTATTTCTTTGTTTCCCGGGGAAAAAAAAAAAAGCAAAAACCGGGAAAAAACCAAAAATAACCCCCCAAAAAAAATCCCCGCGCTCGGGAACCCCCCGCGGGGGCGGATGGTGCTGCCGTGAACGGGGCGGGCCGGGCCGGGCCGGGCCGGCGGGATGAAGCGGCGGAGCGCGGACTGCAGCAAACTGCGGCGGCCGCTCAAGCGGAACCGCATCACCGAGGGCATCTACGGCAGGTACCGAGCGGCCGCCGGGAGCGCGCGGTTCGCGGCCGCCCCCCGGGCCCTGTCACCGTCATGGCGCCCCGGCGCCCCTCAGGCGCTGCCCCGCCCCGGGGCTCCGCGGGGCCGGGGGTGCTGCTGGCCGAGGTGCTGCCGGCAGCGAGCGGCCGGAGCCGGCCTGGGCTGCGCTCACAGCGCCGGGGCCTTTCCCCGGTGTCACCCCGGCGGTGCCGGAGCTCCGAGGCTCGCCCTGCGGAGCGTTTCCCGGCGGGGTCTCGGTGCCGGAGCTCCGAGCTGGCGGGGTCACCCCGGGGAGGGTTTCCCGGCCACAGCGGTGCCGAACAGCCGGGCTGCTGGCTGGGGCTGTGCCGGAGGTGTTTTGGATGCTGGGGAAGCCGTGAGAGGCTGGTGGGGAATTCCCGGAGCAGGGGGGATGGCCTGGTGTGCTGGTGGGACACGGCAGGCGCAGCCCTGAGTGGGCAGTGAGGAAGCGAACAGCGCTGGGATGTGCCCGTCCCGGGATCGGGATGTGTTTTCCAGGTGCCAACCTCAGCCCTGAGCCAGGCACTGAGGGAATGAACAGCGCTGGGATGTGCCCGTCCCGGGATCGGGATGTGTTTTCCAGGTGCCAACCTCAGCTCTGAGCTGGGCACTGAGGAATGAACAGCCCTGGGATGTGCCTGTCCCGGGATCAGGATGTGTTTTCCAGGTGCTCCCAGGCAGAAGGCTGAGTTGTGTCCCACGTTGTGAGGCTGTGCAGAGCTGTTTCAGCCCTGCTCTCCCGAGTGTGGCAGATTTGGTGCGATAGCTGTGCGTTTCTCAGTCAGCAGGAGTTTGGGTCAGGAGAGGCTCTGAAGCTTGTGAGAGCTGTAGTAAATGTGCTGCTGTCCCATTTCTGTTTCTAGTTCAGTGGGGTTGATGAATGCAGTGCCTGGAAACCTGAGCGAGCTCATACAATTCAGATGTGAACTTTGCATGAGGGAAGCAGCTGCTGGGGAGCTGTGACAGGAATAAAATTGTCCCAGTGTGCTGCTTACCCCACTTGTAGTGGATCTGTGACAGTGGAGAGTTTCTTGCTTTAGACTTCCAGGTTTTGGGAAAACCCTGTGTGGAATGGTAAAGGAAAACATCCCTTGTGTAGAAATTATTATTCAAGGTGAAGAATAATTCAGATATATAAGGAATTGCTTATAAGTGGATTTTAAGTCATTCCAAATGCTTTGCTTTTGAGGTGACTGGCAGGGAAGGTGGGGTGAGAGATGGAGGGGACATCAGGGAAAGCTCTGTGCAGCAGGAAGAGCTGCTGGAGTCTCTGAGCAGCTGAGGCACCTCTGCCTTTGCTTCTCCTGGGATGCTTTGGCTCAGGAATGGGATTTTTAGCCTTTGTTTCACGTGGCATTTTGCTAAACAGAAACAATCAATGTCTTCAGAGTGTTGTCCCACAGAAAAGAAATGGAAATAGTGGGAAGGTTTTCCCCTTTGGAAATCTAAGCAAAGGAAGGTTCTTCTACATGGATTTGGGCTCTTTCTCTTTTTTTTCTCTCTTCACTCCATAATTCAGTGATCACATACAGGTAGCTTCTCACAGAACTACAGTTGTCTAAATTCTTGCAATTACTGCAGTTATTTATTCGGTTTATCTTAATTGTCCCCATCAGCTTACACAGACCCAGTAAATGCAGTTATCGGGAGGAAGCATCCTGGGTTTATGGGCAGAGCAGCCAGGCTGAGCAAACAGCAGGATTGGGATACTTAACTCTTTGTTTTGTTTGCTTTTTAAATTAAGCCTGATCTGAAATTAATTCTCCTGTCCAGCCTGGCAGTGTGAGCAAGGCAGAGCTGTCCCTGAGACACGTGGGCTGGGTGAGGGCTGGGAAAATGAGGAGTTTTGGAGCAGGTGGAGCATGGAAGGAATTGTCCTGCAGGGAAGCTCTGCTGGCAGCGTTCATTGCACGTGTGAAACTGAAGCAGATTAGAAGTAGTGATAGAAAAACAGAACAGAGTTAGAAATATAAAAT